GGCGGTCAGGATCGCCGAGAACGAAGAGGGCGGGAAACAGCGACTGTATCCATCTACGCGAGTCGGATAATCCGAAAGAGAGAGAGAGAAGAAGACGGAACGATCGTCACCTCGGCGATCTTGTGAGCGCGCCACGACACTCGCCGCAATGTCAGGAAGATATCTGTACATAGAACTGCAACATAGCACAGGGTGTACGTACATGCCGGTGCACACGTAACTACATAGCAAAGTATTAACTATGATAGTGCATGAAAATAATAAGACGTTCGCAGCGGGGCGCGCATGGCGAAGGAGCTTCGCCCCTTTTCCCCTTCACGACGAATCTCGCCCTACGACCCTCGGAACGAGAAGAGACCGTCGTCCATGGCATAGTAATTGATAATTCACGATCGCTACGCTCGCACCTACGCAACGGTCGCGTCGAGAGAATGACGACGAGAGGATGATGAGCAGAAAAGAGAATAGCAGCAGAGGCTCATTCGTTCCCGCGTTAGATCCAAATTGGCTTTCTTCGTTCCCGTTATTTAACATTGACTATTTCGCCAGCGACGACGCAGGGGTTGTGCATTAATAGCTTAATTGGCTCTCCTTTACTTCGAGTATTTTTGCGTTTTTATTGTTTTCCCGACAACCGTGGAGATTGCGCGACACGACACGGTATATACACGGAGGAAAATAATTTGCTGGCGCAACAAATTTTAATTGTTGTCGCAACAAAATTGGTCAGTTATTAGATGGACAACAAAACGATCTGTTAAGAATAGTAATTGCCATTCGCTGAATTATTTTGCTGAATCTGCACATTATTTTGCTGTAAGAACAAATTAGTAAATGTAGGAAAACATTATCTTATTCTAACAGTAAATTAACGTGTCATAAGGACAAATTCACTTAGCAGGATATTTTCTATCCTAGCGACAAAATTGTTTCCGCTTTAATGACGAATAACTCGTTAATTTGATTATGCTAACTAAATTTTGTCGCTGTCACAAAGAATGCAGTAGTAACGATGGCTTCGCAACAACAGCAACATTATTTTTCTCCATGTGATAAGTTTCATACGCGCATCCGTAGATTACTTTCCCATTTTGACACGAGGCTATGTTTTACTGTGCAATGTGCGCGAAAAATGTGACGGGAGGATTTTTTACTTAGCAGTTCGCACACAAAGGGAAGAGAGAGAAATTATTACAATAATTATTTATTACGAGCGAAACAGTATTAACTTTTGATGATAATATATGTTATAAGCGAATATGCAAAATTTGCGAGTTGATCGATCGACGAGAAATGGTTGATTTATTGCTGTAATTATTAAGATTATTATTATTATTATTATTATATTGTTTAATTATTATTATATTTTTATTATCACTATTATTGACACCACTGTCGCTATTGCCGCTATTACGAAAATATGGTGGCGATTATTATAATTATTATTTGTGTAATGAACTGCGAAAAGAGGCAGATAGAGAGAGGACGACTGGATCGGACGGTAGAAATAAATAAATGCGAAAATTTCATGAAGCATATGCGCGCGTTGGAAAGAATGCGACAGCTCAGTTGTGACAAAGAGAAAAAACTTAACGATCGATTCCGGTTGCGAGCGTATGCCGAGAGGAGAAACGATCGATATCCCGTAGATCAAAAAAGTAATCGGTAACGGTAGTACGAAATGCGACAGAGCGTTATTAGCATATCAGCGTGTTGAGCTTAGAGACGAAGCGCGCGCGGAACAATGAGACCACGCGTGATAATACATAGTACCAGTATAGTGTGTGTGCGTTTGGAGCAAACGAAAGCGAGCGAGCGAGCGAGCGAGCGAGCGAGAGAGAGAGCGAGAGAGAGAGAGAGAGAGAGAGAGAATCATTGAACGAACGATTGTATGATGACTCGCGGGTGTTTCAGAGAAGCGAGAGACATTGTGTATGTCAAACGTTCCTCCATGCCAGTAATCAAGGTGCGACGCTACCGACGTTGTTACGCATACAATCGAACATGCGACGGCGTTATTATTATCGCAGCTATTTTATCAGTTTATTCATTATAATTATCACACGAAATAGATCACACAAGAGTATCATCCAGTACAGGAACGATGTTTTTTTCGATATGCAAGATGAAACTGTTTCGAGAAGAGAAATTATTCACGTCTTTTTCGAGTCATATTGTCATACACGAAACGAAATATTATTCATTATCGCAATCGAGAACAACGGAATACAGTTTTTTCCGAGTGCGAGGACGTTACCACGCAAACATTACGCGACAAGAAGCGATTACATTGGACCACGCATCGTCGCTCTGTGTAGTAAAAAAGAGCGCGTTACACCGCCATCGGAGATTATAGTAATGCAAAACGCCGCTCGTCGGGTTGTGTGTCGCGTACAACTTCGAGAAGTGTAGCTTTTACGAGGGCTCGGAATTACAAGTTGCATCGAGATCGATATTGTACACCATGTGGAGAAACGGAGCCCGGTGGGAGTTATTAAACGCGAAAATACGATATGTGTTGCGTGTGTGACGCCAAGTCGGCTGTATATTTATGATATTACGTGGTGACGGCGAAGTTATCACTCGCGCGTAAAGAAAACTTTCATATGATAAGTGTATTCGCGCCTATCCGGAGGTGCATCGCCAGTATCGCTCACGAGTCGTAAAACAACGTCGGCAGCGTCGAATAACACGTGGCGCGAATGTGTTGCGCGCGCGAGTACGCGAGGACGAAGTGTACTTTTTTTGTAAGGAGGAGCGAACGGAACGCTTGTGTTCGGCCGGCCAAAGTCTCCGAAGCTTCACTGAGGCTTTCGTCAGTGGAATTCGTCGTCGTCGTGCGAGACGAGATGAGCGTTACGTGTGTTGTCGGAGAAAGCGCGTGGTCGCCGAGAATCGTTAGCGACGCAGCGAATGCCGAGGAATTCCACCGACGAGCGTAGAGATTAAATAGTTATTTATAAAGTCACCCTCTCTGCGTAATCGAGGGCGAGAGGTAAGGTGCGAGATGTGGAGTGTGAGGGCTGGGGGGNGGGGGGGGGCGCGACACAAGTGGTGGAAATAGCGCGCGACACACAAGATATGCCATTTTGAATTATTATTTTCATATAAGGAAACGTGTAATATAAAATATATAATATATGATATATATATATACATATATATATATATATATCGATATAACGAATTAACAGCATCATCGAGACTTATGATCGCGACGATGATGGTGGTTAATATTATTATTATTGCTATTATTATGGTTATTGATTATGATTATTATGGAATGAGGATTATTATTATAAACGAGAAAAGGAACTAATGCATTATATAAAAGATAAAAGTAATTACACTTAACACTTACGTTAGGCAGCTAGATACATACATTTGATGCAAGTGAGAAAATGGAGTAACCCACACGTTCGACGGAAGAGTCTAGGTGACATAAATTAACGTCGTACACATTTCTATATCAATGTAAAACATACACGGGGACGTATGCGAACTAAGATTTTTTAGCGAACGTCGTGGGTACCTGCATTTCGTCGAGGAACATACGAGAAGTGGTCGGAGTGTCAGTAAGAAACGTTAAACTTCTTCAAAAGTCACATCGATCCTTCTTTCTTTGCCCGCAATGGTGTCGTTTCGCGGCGTCGTCCGCTTTCGTTGAGACATTTGTTCGTAAAACAACCGGCATCTCGCGCTTCGTCGGAGGAAGAGAGAGAGAGAGAGAGAGAGTGAGAGAGATAATTTGCATTTCGTTAATTTCTAGAGAGAAGATACATTCTTCCTAGCGAGAGATTGACGAAAGGAGACTCTCCGCGAGATGCCACGTCGCGTCGGCTACGCCTTTGTCGCCGGACGGAAAAAAGGTTTCCCGACGTTCGCATTTTCACGCCACGGACGTGTTCCCGTATCCGAACGTAATTTTTGACGATTCGTTCCTCCATTTGTTTCTCTTTACGCGAACGCCGAGCCGAAAGTTCTCTGTACGACGTACCTTGTCCCACTTAAAGCTCGCATACAGATTACATAACTAGCTATTACGGACATGGCCATTAGCAGAGGAATGTATCATTCAGATAGTTTATCATTAAAGAAACGGTAACCATCATAGGTATATTAACGACACATTATTTATATTATTACGCATATTATATAAATAATTGATAACAAATACTAACCTTAGGGTGAAGTATTGCGAGGGGGGAGGGGGGTGGGGAAAGGGGAAACATTACGAATGGTCGCGTCCGCGTGGGCGCGACGGCGACGGTGCGTCGTTTTTTTTTCGGAATGACGCTATCGACACGTGAGTGAATAAAAAAAAAAAAACAAGATGATGAATAAATCGCCAATTACTTTGACTTCAACCGTACTATTATTTGTATATGCCGAACGATTATGCCGTTTTCAGCGCAACATATTTTGGCAATTCTCTTTGGTGGTATGGTTCGTAGCGACCGCGTTTGGTGAGAGAGAGAGAGAGAGGGAGAGAGAGAGAGAGAAATAGCGCGAGAGCGAGAGAGAGAGAGAGAAAAAGAGAAAGCGAGCGAGAGTAAAAGCGAGTGAGAGAAAGTGTGAGATAAAGAGTGAGAGAAGACGGAGAAACCAGTGAGGGAGAGAAAGAGGAATAAAAGAATAAAACAAACGAACAAAATAAAAATCAGAAGTTTCTATACTTTTTACGGAGATTGTTATAGTCTAAGCGCACACTGATTAAGGCATTCGTCGCTCGGCAAAAGCATAATACAATTATTAATATAAAATTTATAACAGAAATAAAATAAATGAAGTTAATAAATATGTACACTGTATAATAAACATTATTTCCTATTAATAATTCATGTCTTTTTATTCAATCAGTTATCCAACCAGAATTCAAAGTCTCATAATATTAAGTAACGTACTTTTTTTCTATATTTTTTTTTCGTTTATATTTTATATGTCTTTCAATTAAGAAACATTATCTCTTCATGTGATACGTTATAAATAAACTATAAGTATAAATATTATTATAGTTTATATAATTACGTACACTTTCTTATCGACCGGCAGTAATCCAAGGCATTACCAACCGCTAGCAAAAAATCGCTTCCGAACATTGAATGTCACGCTAAATTTACATGGTTTGCCCGTGGCGTCAACATTATTTTGTTATTATGCGGTCACGCCCATGGCGCTATGAACAAACTTAGTCACCGGTGACCCCCATGGCATTCAACGTGTTAAGAAATAACAAGAAACTTTCAATCAAATATCCTAGCTAAACATAGAATTGTGTAGAGTTTCCAGATCCTTTTCCCTCTCTACCGCTCGTCGCTTCTCCTTCCTGTACATTTCATAGTCCTCATCGTCCGTTGGTAGTTCGTAGCGGCACAGCGGGCACGAGTTGGTCTGCAAGTAGAGATTGAAAGCGTCAGAATGCGCTCCAATATAATTACGTTTAGCCGTTTACATTGTATCATCTCACGACAAACCATACCCTTTCTAACCACGGTACGATACACTCCGCATGAAATGCGTGACGACAGGGCATCGATTTTGCCTTATTGCCCGCCTCAAAGTCCTTCAAGCAAACCGGACATTGTTTAGTCTCGACGGACTCGATCTTGATCTCCTCCAAATTCTTTACCGCGCTTTTGGACGCAGGTGGCGGGAGTTTTTCATTCTCGCCGAGCAAGTCCCACATACCAAAGTCCCGCAAGAATCGCGCCATTTGAATCAAATGATTTGGCGCTTCCCCATCAGCCAACGGCGTCCAACCCATTTCCTCAAAGTAATCGGACATATCGTCGAGGTTATGACACTTGCCTCGCAAGTGGAACGACGAACTCAATATTCAGTTTACCTTTAACGCAAATAACGACGGCTGCACTCTTTTCACTTCGGTGGTATATTTATAATCAATATCTCCGTTTAAAGGACACTTTGCCTGTGTGCGTTGCTACGGAGCTATCGCACTCCGTAACGTCTCGCCAAAAAATCTCGAGTCATACTGACAATCAGCGTTGAAGAAGAAGTGGAGGAAGGGATGAAACTCACGCACGCGCAAAACACAAACTCTGTTCACTTCTCAGCTGTGTACAGTCGGAGTCATTTATACTCTACCATTCCGAAGAGTTGTACGATTTTCAACTTTACACATAACGTAAAAGTAACTTTAGTAATTTATAATATGACAAGGTTATAATAGCTCTGATTATAATAACTTCGATCTTATGTGTATAAGTGAAAGACTAAAAATTGTATGATAATAAAATGTTTCAATCTAGGGAATAATATAGCATACTGACGCCGACTATACACCATTATAATACATGGTATTATTAAAACCTTTGCGAGATATATAAGCACTATTAAATTAAATGTAAGATTATTTATTGCCGAGATATTAATTGCGAAAGTTAATAGAAAAGTATAAAACGTTCGTGAATAGGTAGATGAAGAAACCTAGTAAACACCAAGTTGCAGTTATATAATTGTTAGTTAGTAATTTCCTACTCAACAACGTAACTTGTTGTATACCTAACATACGCGTTACATAACAATTACATTGTTAAGCAGGAAATTATAACTAACAGTTATGTAATGGCAACTCTGTGCTCACTGGAAATGCAGCGTCATACTGCAATGCAGCGACAAGTACACGCAATCAAAATATCTCTTGCCAGAATCGAAAGTAGAAAAAAATAATGAATTTTCATGCAACCCGCATCACTATACACATTTCTAAGATACATTTAAAATTTCATAAAGCAAGTGTGAACGACCGCGTGGTCGATCACGTGTTCGAGCACGTGCTTAGGCGACGGAGCCAATTTGCATTGCTCGCGCCTCGAGTACGTAACTTTTTCAAAACGAGTGACACGACATCCCAATTCGAAATATTAATTAATCAATCGGAACTTAGTGATTGCGCTTTTCGCACATCTCGCTGCGCAGAAAAAACGTGTTAGATTCAACTAAATAATTATTCCAATATTCCAATATTCAAATTTTTACTCGAGTTAAATAAATATTTTACTCGGATTAAACAAATATTATTTGATCCAAGTAAAAGAATTTGCTAATGAATATTGGAGTAGTTATTTACTTGGATCTAGCACTTGTTTTTTTATGTACATAATCGCTCTGTGATTTGTGAAACAGTTTTAAGTTTAGAGTGGAATCAGAAGGTCTGTTCTTTTTGTTGAACTGATTGCACTAGCTTGTGCTAATTTTCTTCTCCTCTTTCTTACACCACCTTTCTTAACTATATGTCTGTTTCTTTTTACGTTCTATAAATATACACTAACTTGGCGAAAAAGAACAGACCTGGAATGAGGCGAAAAATGAAACGTGAGGAATTCCGTTCATTTACATGATCGCTGCAATGAAGGTAATAACGAAATCTACTTTATCAGCACTATACCTATATACATTTTATCGTTCTATATATACTGGTACTATATATGCTCAGTAACTCTTGTCCACGCAATCATTAGAACCCGTCACGGTCTGTGAGTTGGTATCACTTTATTACGTCGTGAAACATTCCTCATAAGACAGTTTGTTATAAAAGTGTGATCATGAACGATTCATTTTAAATGTGCGTGTGTATATGTGCGCTTATTGTTGTTGCTTATTAAGTGGCGTATTTCCCGTAAGAAAAGTTTTATTAGTTGTTTGGAGCTTAACGTCAAATTCCTAAATAACTATTTTTCTACTTTTATAATTCACTGTATTAATTAAAGTAAAGCTATGTTCTAATCTGCAAAAGTTAACGTTGTGCTGTACTATATACCGCATTATTCGATATACACGCATATCGTTTACACAGTGTTTCAAACATTCCAACAATACATATTTTTACCCTTACAAATGTAACATATATTTATCACAAAAAAATTATATCAAATTGAAGTAACTGTACGTTAACGGGAAAGAGAAATATATAGTTGCAATATATCATAATTTCGCAATCTGTCATTCATTCACTATACTACTTATGAAACTTTCTGAATAGTTATTAAAGTTACATGTTAAAACATTGATTCGAACAAATGTAATTGTTTTTATATCTCCAATATCGAGTCAACAGTTATCTTACTCAAATATATTGAGCATATTGATTTTCGTTGTTTTTATCTTTATGTAACCGTGATTCGTAGATAATCGGCAGAAATTAAGTTTTAACTAAAATTTTCTCTTAACGCAGCTTCTGTACAAATACTCGACATGCTGTATTAACTGGAGAGGAATATCGTTCGTGTTCAATCATCATGCGATGTATAGAGAGATACCTTATCTTCGGATGGCTGCTGTGCGTCCAGCCGATAGCCACGATGAATCACATTGTAACTGCACTAGAAGATACTTGTCATCTGCCGAATGCCCTAATTGAGGAGATAGACTCGTACGCGCCGACAGTACAAAGAATAATCACCGAAACCATGCAAGGTTCCTTCAAAGGAACCATTTGGCAAGATTTAGCGGAGTTCGTCGACAAATTTGGCCCGCGGTTCACCGGCACCCAAAACCTCGAGGATTCAATCGATTATGTGTTAAACAAATCGATCAGTTTAGGCCTGGAGAACGTTCATGGCGAAACGGTCACCGTACCACATTGGGTCAGGTATAAAATTTGCAAAAGCAGATTAATTAAAGTTAATATATGACGGTACTATTGCGATTCGTGTTATAAAGTGTCTCGGTTTTCCTGATGAACCAATTTAAATAATGGATTGGAAGAGATCAAAATAGCTGTTCGAATCTTGCGATTTCGCGATAATCTCACGAACTTGCGAATAACGATTTAGAAGTAATCGGACGAAGATATACGTGGAGGATGCTTAGACAAAATCCGAAACAAACAAATCGAACAGCGATGTAACAGTTAAAAAAAACAAAGTAATATAACAGTAAAGCGCAAGTAACATTGACGCTTCGAGAATATTAAACATGTGCTTTATCCGCGTTGCATTTGGCGATCTCTTCGCTCTCTAGCGTATGCTATGCATGCGAGCTTCGCAGATTTATTTGTACAGAGAACTGTCCACTTCTCCTTCCACATATTCATAAATGCAATAATTAGCAAATTAAATTAATATTAGTATAATATATAAATTAATTTAAACGTATGACATATTTGACTTTGCGCTTTCAAGTTACGGTCTTTTTTATGATCCATAACTTTTGCGATAAACCGAGCTCGTGTGGCCAATTTTATAGCTTTAAAAAATTACCGATCATAAAATATATCATAATTTGGATTGGAAACAAGGTCACATAGCCATACGTTTATACTAACTTACATTATATGGCTTAACTTTTTTTCATTATTCGTCAGTATTGAATTCATTTCCGAAGTGGCTTCCGCTAATAACGAGATAATTTACAATTCAAAGTAATATTGCATATTAGATCAGGCTAGATCACCTACCAAGATAGATTTACAGAAAAATAGAAACGAATGTTACCTATTTGTACGATTCAGTCCAGCTTGGCGTAATCGTGTCAAAACATTATGACTATTTTCAGAGGCTCAGAATCTGCGACTCTTTTGCAACCACGGCGACAGAATCTGGCGTTATTGGGTCTGGGTTATAGTGTGGGTACTCCGGAAGAAGGCATAACTGCCAACGCTGTTGTAGTAAATAGCTTTGAGGAGCTTAAGGAAAGAGCGAAAGAGGTAGGTCTCTGACAGACGCTCTTTTATCAAGTATTTCAACCCGTCTTAACGAGGCAATCAGATTCCAGGAAAAATTGTCGTGTACAATGAAAAATACATCTCGTACGGGGAGACCGTAAAGTACAGGAGCGCGGGAGCCACGAGAGCGGCGAAACTGGGCGCCGTGGCAGTTTTGATCAGATCGGTGACGCCGTATTCACTGTATACTCCCCACACCGGTATGATGACCTACGGAGAAAACGTCACGAAGATTCCAGCTGCCTGCATAACTGTCGAGGACGCAACTCTTTTGGGAAGAATGGCGGATCGAGGTAACAGAAAAGCCTTCCCCGAGTTCGGGGACCACCGCGGATAACTGATCGGTTCTGTTCAGGAGAAAATATCGTAATCAATCTGAAAATGGAAGCGCAAACTTATCCGGACACACAATCGCGGAACGTCATAGCGGACATCACCGGATTGAGCGCGCCTGAGAAGGTAGTCGTTGTTTCTGGACACATAGACAGCTGGGACGTCGGACAGGGCGCCTTGGATGACGGGGGTGGCATTTTTATATCCTGGAACGCACTGAAGTTATTGAAACACCTCGGCTTACGGGCACGAAGAACAATGAGGTGCCTCGAAATATGTTTCATAGTCCAACGCAGAATTAAATTATTCTCTATAATGAAAAGATATCGTCCGTAAAAGTGCTACGTTTGTTAAGGCCTTTATTTTCGCGAATTTTATCAGCCAATCAAGTGCTTACCTGCTATTCGAAAACACCTCGCGTGTATTGCAGAATGATAATGTGGACTTCCGAAGAACTCGGTCTCATTGGAGCTCAACAGTACTCACAGAAGCACGCGGCGGAAAATGGAAAGCTGCAGTTTGTGATGGAATCCGATCTTGGCACGTTTACACCCGTAGGCCTCGAGTTTACTGGTGGCGAGATGATCCAGTGTGTACTTGAGAGAATAATGCGGTCAGTTTCTTCCCTGAAAATTATTGCCCGCTTTGCTTCTGCCAAATTTACGTGTTCATCATGTCCCAGTAATTCCGGTCCTTTTATTCAAATGATATTAAATTAGGAAACGTATTTTCACAAATGCTTGAGGCTCATCTGTTCGCGAAAAGATTTGTTATTTTTCTATGATCTACTACTCCAGGGAAGAAACTTTTTCTGTTTTTAGATTATTGGCTCCGTTGGGTGACTTGAAATTGAGGAGCCCTTGCAGTGGGCCTGATATTTCCTTTTGGGTGAACGCTGGCGTGCCAGGTGGCAGTCTGTGGACGCGAAATGAGAAATACTTCTACTATCACCATACGAATGCGGACACGATGCTAGCCGAAAATCCGAAAGCCCTGGACATGAACACAGCCATATTCGCAGCGCTATCGTTCGTCCTGGCAGACATCAGCGTCGATTTGCCTCGACACAACTACAGTAATCCTCAAAGATTTGGAAGGAAACCAATTGAACACGCATAATGTAAATAACATCGAGCGTGTGTGTGTTCATTGTCTTTATTTTCAAATATACGTTATATACAATAGCAGCATACAAACAATTAGGCCTACTGTCAATAACTAATCTAAGTTCCTCGGAAGCATTACAGAAGTAATGCTGCGATCAGACCAACGAGATTTTGCGAATCGATTTGATTTCCTTTCCACTCTTACCTCTTGATGATCATATTAAAAAAATTATCTATTCGAAGTGCACTATGGGGATTACATACGTCCTCGTGAAAATTTGTCGTTCTAACGTGTAACATACGCTCTGCAGGGTCCCTTTCTGGGGCATATACGACCTGCGCAATACAAAGCAAAATTAAACAATTACGCCGGTATCAAAATATTGCCAGATTACAACGGGACATGTACGTCCCATTAGGCGTTAAGAGATCGAATGATCTTGTAATCTCCGGCGTGCTCGGTGTAATCCGAAGATAATCTCTCGACGAACGTGCCTCCATTGAGTCGTCATTCTCAACCAAGCAAGTATATTTCTTTGTGATTTATATTAAAGTATCCTCGTCTTGATTCGGGAAAACCATCAGCAAGGAGTGCTGAGAAGTCGTTCTCTGGCTAGATGTTAAGAGGGCGGTCTTTTCGCCGCCGCTGCCGTTGATGGAACAATCCGGAGAGCTGCCGTCGAAGCCGATGTAATTGGTCGTCGTGCTGCTCGTAGACGGTATGTCATTGAGGTCCGGCGATGCTAAAGGCGGTGCCGTGGTCGAGCGTGCATTGTTACCGTCCAGGGATACCAGATGCATGCTGTACGACTCGCGATACCCGGAAGTACTGGACGTGTCCTCGTCCCAGGATACGTCCGACATCTGAGGATGAAGATGGTGATGGTAGTAGTGAGAGTGGTGATGCTGATACGTTGCTCCGTAGAACTGTGGATCGCCCGGCACGGCTGAGTTCTTGTCTGGGTCCGACTTACGACTAGACAGACCCCGCTTGGAACGAATGGACGAGGAGTCCGACGGGATGTTGGAGAACGACTCCACGGCCGATGTCGACGATATCGTTGCTTTCGGCTGGCTCGTTGATTCTTCCTCCAGAGTCGCGTCCGGCTGCTCCGTTTGGGCCAGCTGTAAATCAGTACTCCGTGCCTGCAACGAGGATTAACTTAACGTACAGAATGTTTAGCTCGAAATCGTTAAAATTGACATATTCTACGACACAATGATATAAAATTGCGACCGAATAAAGACATTGAGACCTTCGAGATGTGGAGAAAGAAATTACTTCATTAAAAGAATTAAATTATAAAATAAATTATCTTTAAAAAAATATATATATATATTCTTTAGCGAATGAATAAGATATAAAAGTGAGAGACAAAAATATTCGGTATTTACAATTTGTGATCGTTAAAGGGTACATAAAGTTCGTCACCTCAATATGGGCCTTTCGACTCTTTCGTAAGCGGAAAGTTTTCTTGCTTTGACCCATAGAACGTTGTAAGCGAGGCTTGTCGGTGCGTAATTCGCCAGAACTGTCTTCTGCGGTAGGACTGCTCGGACTTAGCTGGCTCGTCAGAGTCTCTCCTGGCAGGACAGTGGGCGATCATGTCGCGTCTACCGTCTTATCACCGATTCTACTCTACGGGCTATCTACTAGTCATGCTCTTCCTTCGAAGTACACAGTTCGAGATTGCTTTCGAAACGCGCTATAAAGTATCTTACATTCGCGTCCGGTACCTGATGGAACATTTGGGATACTACACCTAGTAAACGTAAGCTTTCATTTCGAAATTATAAGTGTATACTACTATCGCGTGAACTCGAAGATTCGTACAAATCTCAACGAGATAGAGAAAGACTTGTATGCAGAATTATATTTCTTGCGGGCAACAATAGTTCGATTGTTATTCTGAAATGAATTCTGCTATTTCGAGAGTATGATGCACATTTACGAGAAGAAAAGTATTTCCTGTATGCCCGTGAATATTTCGAAATTAGGTATATATCGGTCAGAAAACTTCTATTACTCCAGAGAGTTGAATTGTGATTGGAAATGATTACTGTACAAAATATATCACTATTAAGATTGATTGTGGTGATAGTGAGATACCCTGAATATAAAACGTGATATCCGTGTAATCGTTAGTCAATTAGTGGATTATTGAAGACCGAGATGCTTTTGATATTCCTACGCGAGATGTCATCATGTGCATGCAAGATTGTATTCGTCAATGAAACATAAAGCACACTTGTTTTTCACATCTCTTCGTGTAACAGAAGCGACAGCGCGGGAACATCCTCGCGAGATATTAAAAATCAATTCCACAATCACACATATACGCGTTTATGTTTGCACGTTTACGCATCAGATACTGACAAATAGATGTTTCTACAAGAAAGTATCACAATAAAAAAGCACCGTCCAGCAAATAATTGATCAAACGTAAACAAAGAAATAGAGAGAAAGTGTCAAGCATGTTTTTCTCTTTCCAGGTCATTCTGAATGTATCGATAAACTCCTACTTTCTCACGAGAACGTTACATGGTGATGTTGATAATGACGCTTCGGAGCTGATTAATGAGATATGTGCCATGCATGTTTAAGTACATCAGACTTCATCGTGTGTTACTCTTCGACAAATGAAATGCGTTAACATAAATCTATTTACTTCAGCGTTTCTAGATATTTACCAACGTGGTTGGTTCTACGTCGATTGAGAATGATCGTTGTGCGGGTGTACGAAACGAACGAGGAAGGCAAATAAGAGATAAACGCGAGGAACGAAAAGAGAAACGAAAGAATGTCTACAATCTTGCATTTTCCTTGAGTCTCTCGGGTACTGCGTCATGAGGAATTGGAACGGGCTTTTTCGAGGGACGTGTCATTAAGTATACCGTGTGTGTATCGGTTAAAGCGGGAATTTGGGATTTACCTGATGAGCGTCTAAACTCTACGGAAGAGACAAAGCGCAGCTTTGGCGCCTTTTGGTGAGGTAAGATAGGATGAAGCTTAACATGGTTACGTTCATCGCTAGTAGAAGATGGTTGGAATCTATCTGAAACATGCCACATCGAACGTCTAGTATGAGGGAAGGGATAACAAGTAAGACACCACGATATAGTAATGTCGTGACGACACGTTGCTCACGATCGCGTTGTTGCACGCTTTGGACCAGAGTTCCGGAAATTCATTGTGATGTAGATACCGTACGACAAATGTCTCGATGACCTCGTTGCCTCGAGCTCGGAGATGAAGTCGGCTGAGATTACAATTTAGGGGTTCGCGCCATCTTGCGAAATTACTCGTGATTCAGTCCCGTCGAATAGAAAAAAAGTCACGTATTTCTGAACTTACTTTGATATCGCAATGCGCATCGTGTGAGTCGAGGAGCAATGTTACATCCGTACGACGGTAAATCTTGCAAATGTGATGTAACTCGCAATAAATAGTGACGGTGACTGATCGGAGGGGTGAGTGCTTCAACGAGAGTGAGAGTATTACGCAACTAACATGTGCACGATTCGTATTCATACACGTGAATTTCTCTAAATATATCTGTACGACGTTGCTTCGATCGGAAGGATGTATTAACCATTCGAGTATGTCATAGAGAGACTGCCAGAGCAAGCAATAACAAGACAGAGGGAGAGAGAGAGAGAGCTTCCAGATAAAGTGTCTCGATTGTATCAGCGTATAGTACGGTTGAAGTGAAACATTGACAACATGTATCTTCGCGCTGCGAAAGCCAAAGCGCAGACTGTCGAGATCGAGTGTGCCGAATATACCGAATTGTCGTTACTGATAAATGTTGCTGTCGTGCTAACTGTGAAGACAATCAGTGACAGTTAATTTTCGTGCTCTCGAGTAAAGAAGAAAGCGACATCGAAGCAACTACGTAGTAGTAGAGTAGCTACGCAACGATCAGTAGGGTACCAACTGTTGGACATTACCATTGTCTAAATACTGCTATGTAGTAAGTTCCTTATGATTCTGCGTGTAAAACATAATAGAGAGAGAGAGAGAGAGAGAGAGGAGGAGGAGACGATAATAAATATCAGTGTTCTAAAAGACCGTGAAATGAGATTGCGTGCTCTTCCGCAAAAATCCGTTCGTTCTCGGCTAATTTTGCCGCTTCGCGCGATCCTACTTTCTTTTAATTCACTACGGTTTATTCACTATTGGTTCGATCAAAGTTGCACCAAATTTATAGACACGAATCGCTTTTTTTCATCAATCTCGTTTCACGTGAACGTGAAATAAGGAGTGGACGAAGATCGAGACGGAAGACATTGGAAGAAACAGGAGAGAACGATCGAGGTCTGACCAAATTATGAAAAAGTGATAAGCGTGAGAGAGGGGGCACACACCAGCAGGATATATATTTATATATATATATATATATATAGTATCATATAGATCGTGTCAGAATTGATTGTTGTAGAATCGGTCCGCTTACCTCCGTTCCCTAGCTAGCAATGGAAGCAACGTAATGATCAATCATACGAGCGGCGGGAGAGGCGCGAACGACTTATGCCTTAAAACAGGACGCTTTAAGCGACGTTACAAGGAATCTTTTGTCGGACGTGGGGGACGGTAGTACTCGTGCGAGAGTTCACGTCCGCAAAGAGGAGAAAGCTACTGTCTTCGTTGCAAGCCTCGCTGTAAAAGGGGAGAATGAACCGCGCGAGAAAAGCAAAAAAAGAAGTACTACGGACGCAAAAGGAAGAGAGAACCGTATCGGACTGAGAGAAAGAGAGAAAAGGAGAGATACCGTTGGCAGTGGTCTATAGACAATGGCTCGATCCAACTGTGGTAGAGGTCAGCGATTTTCAGCGTGACTGACTGCCCGTACGACAGTAATGAAAAGTATGCGAGAGCTTGCAGTCGCATCGGTCGTAATCGGGATCCTTTTTATAGGATTCTCTAGGGAGTGATGGGATACCTGTCGACGGCTGCTGCTCGACGTACATCTCCCCGGCGAATGTGTCGCTCGCTTCGCGCAACGTGGACGATCCCGCGCTAGTGCTCGACACGGATCCTGCAATGAAAAGACGCGTTTATGTCCCGCGGCTGCTATCCGATGTTGTATCGTCGAGGAAGACGCAGCGAGAAAGAGAGAAAGAAACAATGGGCACGTTACGGTGCATGAAACAGTATCGCTAATGAAGGAGAAACGTCTATATATAAGAAAGCGTTTCATGCTCGTTCGTGTGTACGCGTTGCGAACTTTTGCCCGCACGTCTGAAGTAGCTGAAACACTTCTTCTTCTTTTTTTTTTCTTTCACGGGCGAGAAGCGAAGGGTGCGCGTATAGTACCACCAATAACGTGAGTACCGTTCGGCGGTGCCGTTACTTGACTGGGCTGCGTTGTTTTAACAGTGCTACTTGAGTTGGATTGATGAGTCGAATGAGGCTGTGATTGAGGTGCGGTGGAATAAGACACCGGAGTCTCGGCAGGCGTACGGTTTATATGAGCCTTGGAGGTCAGATCGCCGGTCAGAAAGTCCATCAACAGAGACGGCCTCTGAGCGCGCGGTTGACCTTCCGCTATCGGATGCATGTCCACCACGCTTCGCTTGGGTTCCGGTTGTATCTCGTCTGCACGTCGCAAAACAGTCGATCAAGTCCTTTCGTCGTCGGTCGGTATCGCGAAATAATTGAAGTACTAACCGAATCTTCGATCTTCGATCTCCTCCTTGAGATTCTTCAAGTCGTGAATGAGATCCATCAGCAGCGCGCCCCGAGACTTCGGCACGGTGGTGCTGCTACCGTTGATCTTCTCGCGTATGATGGTGTGCATGTTTCGCTCGTGCTCCGATATCGGAGCCTGTCCGATCTTGTAAACGATGAACGGCAGCATCTGGATGTACAGGGCCGTACGGTGTGTCACTACGAATTCGAGGAAATTCCACAGGTATATCGAGGCCTCGTTGCGCTTGTTCAACAGGCGCATGGTGCGCAAGATCCTCGGCCACTCCGTCTTCAGCTCGGTCTCGAAGCATATCGTCATTATCTTGAGCGCTGAAACCGATCGAGCGTGCACGAATAACGATAACGCTCCTAAATAACAATGATTGATCCTACCTAAAAAGGCCACCTGGTACAACGTCAACGACGTTTTCGTCAAAGTCTTCGGGTCTCGCGCGGCGAACGTCAGACTGCCGGTTCTCATGTCCGTGGTGGTCTTCAGGGTTTGCGCTGTCAATGGCACTGTCTTCACTCCCGGCGGCCAAAGTGCGTTCAATACCGCCGTTAGAGCGAAACTGATGTCCGACTGTCTCAGCCTCGGCACGTCTGCAGGCATATCGAGAGATAATCCAAATAGTTCGCCGCCTTCTCGATATGCGGTTCGTTACCTTTCCTACCGGTCCCAACGCGTAGGAACAACGGTATCATCAAGTTCAGCAGCGTATTCTCCGTGCGAGTCTGAGAAGCGAACATGGCCTGGCCACCGAGAACGTTTTCCAAGGAGTATCCTTCGCCGTAGGATATCACGTGTAAAGCGATCAAACGCAGCACCGTCGAGCAAAAGTGCTGAGGCGGTATTTTGCTCATCAAAGCCGCTGCGGACGCTGACGTTACGTCCTCAGCTGGAGTGTCGCCAACGATCAGAGCCTAAAGGTTAGTACATGTAACACACACGATCGAAATGAACAGATATCGGATGAAAAATAATATTCACTTGGCAAGTGTTCAGCAATGTCTTCAGGTATTGGAAGTGCGCGATGTACGGGCATCTCAATAGCGTTTCATAGACTCCTTTCAGAAGGTCGCTGGCGGCGGCCCAATCGGTGTTCCTTCTGATCGACGCTTTCTTGTGTATCTTGCTGAAAGTTTTATCGAGCCTCCTGAGGATAATCATCAGCGCCGGCCTCATGTCGTCGGCGGACCACTCGGTCGAGGGAAGAATGTCGTTCATGTACCTTCTCAAACCGCGGCAGCCCATGGTAGTCGGGTCGTACGGCGAGATCTTCAAGAGGCTGTGCGCGATATCAACTAGCCGCTGCACAAAGAACCACCGTGGTTACTTCCAGTCGGTTATTAATTAACGATTTTAATTATTTATTAACGATCTGTCCTTATTACTGGATCAACAGAGCCTTAATTAATTTACTGTCTATTAAACGTATTGTAGACAGCGATAAATTTATCCCTGCAAATATATGAGGAAGAATTGTCGAATTACCACGTGACACTTGGAATCCAGCAACTCGATCGTCTTCCCGTCCTGAGATTTCTTGTTGAGCTCAATCAGACGAGCGGAACAACGAGCCACGAAGTCCCCGACCATGTTCAACAAAGTATCCCGCGGTCTTCTGAATTCGTACCTGTGGAAGTTGTCCACGTCCTCGTTGTCCCGATCGTAAAAGTTTCGAACCTTCGAGTGTTCCAGGTACTTTGTCGTGTGGGTGTCGTCCTCGAAATCGAAACCCGGCGAGTACGGGCCCTTGCCGTAATTTCTTTGACTGGAACCTTTGTGCTCGGGACTAGATTTTTGCGGACCGTTGTAATATCTGCGATAGTCGAGTGAGTGTTGTAATCTCATCGAGTAGCTGAAAGATGGAAGCGAACGAAAGGAACTATAAAAGAAAAAATACACATACTTTGTTAACGCCTCGGAATTGTTAACTAGTGTCTTTACTGCGATAGCTAATTGATTTATTATCTCCTTCTCCGTTTTGCCATCTTTATTGTATGTGGGAGATTGAATTTGCTGAACGTAACACGGCAATATCGCCTCTAGTATTATCTGTAACAAAAAGAGCAACGGTATTACCTGCCGAATTAAGACGTACGCTAGATCACTTACCAACATCTGTCGACCTCTGATCGCGTCAGGTGCGTAAGCTATCACCATCACGCAGAGAGATATACAGTCGAGTACATTGACCATTTCGTTTTCGTCGTGGTAGCAGAAATCTATCGCTTTCAAGGGCTTCTCCTCTTTCACCAATTCGCCTATGTTGAGCGGATCTGGCGACGGAGTTTCCAAGCTCAATAGCAAGTTGAACAAGCACGTGGATGGAACCTTGACAAATAAAATATTTAGGAAATACATATTTACATGTTAGAACGTCTTCGTGATATCAAATATGAAATTTATACACGTTATGGATTATTAATCAAAGAGCTTTAATTTATATCCACATTTTGTCGGACCTTGTGAGCCTCGCCATGCAAGCTCGTCACGTCCGTGTCCAATATGGTGGATACACTGCCGAACATCTGTAGAATAAACGGCTTGCGATTCATGAGGTAAAACTGCTTGACAGCGTACTCGACGGTGGTCGTCACGAGTTTGTTCGTTTGGTGGGTCGAGTAAAGCTGCAGCAAAGTCGGCATTATTAGCAGATAACCGTTCGTCGAGAAGATGTTCTTGAAGTTGTGCGCCGCGTTGATGTAGGTGGCTACGACGTAACGTAATATACAGGAATCCTCGCTGTGAAGAATCACCGCGCCGTTCAAGACGTTCAGAAAGAGGTGAATATCGCCGGAGTACGCGAAATTACCGGCCATCGCCTCGAACATCCGCGCGATCAGTCTGACCCACATAAACTTGTGCATCACGTCCAGCCCGAGAAGCTCCTGAAAAAAATCCAGCGGATAAAATAAAGACGACCATTTCCAGATCAGTGCTTGCAAGCTCCGAAGAGAAACTGGGAGGGCGATTTAAGCCGCTTCATTTTTCATTCGTGCGATTTCAATCGAAACATCAAACTCTTCCACTGTGACGGTTAACATGCGAGAACAACTGAACCGATCCAAACGTACGTACTCTTCCAATCTCGCCGCCTTTGTACAAGTCCAAGTTCGCTTCCAGCGCTTTCCGCGGAAACGACGGCAGTTTCATGAGCTCTTCGTGCAGAAACACGACTCTCTGCACCACCATGTCGACGTTCTTCAAGATCGCCCAGGTCAGCAGCACCTTTCCTATCTCTACGAACTTGTGCATCAGTTCCTGCTGCTGCAACAAGTTGAACGCGTCCTCCGGCTTCATGTGGACGAGCTCGATTTGCGGAAACTGAGATCTCTTGAAGAAGTAGTAGTCTCTGACGTACGACGACGGATTGTGTATTTGGTCTGTGAATCAGTGGAAACCACCAGAATTGTGAAATATCGTGCAAGAATAAAAGTCGATGAGAAAAAGAAACCGACGCGTTTTGTAGTCAACGAGGAAGTATTCGTGCTGCTTCGACTCCTCGATGCCGAAGAAGTCCAAGGACTCCCTAAGTATCTGGCAGAACTGCGTGTCCTCTTGAACGGGAAATTGCGAGGGTATTTCCCCGGCGTCGGGATCTTGCGGCCCGTGAACGATGATCTTCTTCGCCGATGGGACGTTCGCTGTGAGCAGGATAGACGCGTCGCACTGTTCCTTCCGCAGGATCTGCTTTAGATCCTTGAACATGATACCGTGCACGCTGTGCACCACCTAAGTCGGAGACAAGGTCGTCAGTCATTTCGAAGCGAGAATATATCGATCAAATGGAGGTATGTTACCATCCACAGAATGGACAATGCGGTTCCGATTAATTTCTGACCGCCCTCGTGCGGAGAGCGCACGTAGAACATCACATAGCCGATGATGTAGTTGTACAAAGCGAACGCGGCTTGTTGTGGTAACTTCGGTACAAATCTGATAAGATGTCGGAGGATCTTAAACATTAATTCCTGCTGGTCTCTTGTGAGGCGCTCCAACACGTATCGAAGGAACAAAGCGCTGTCCTCCACCAGGCAGCTCCAAATCACCTGACACGGGAAGGGAAGAGAAGTCAACGATAATAAGCAACATAGTGTGAGATTATAATTCACAAGTTGATTTTTATTCTCGTTTCATTAGTATTATTTAAATTTTGTCGACGTATACCTGGTATGCCACTTCATACACCGCGTTTCCGTCATCGGAGACCGCCGGGTCGTCCAGGAGATTAATAATCTGAACGATCGCCGAGCATAGCGAAGAGGGGAACAACGAGAGAGCCGACTGACCGTGATGCGTCATGTTCCTCGTTACAGTCTCGCCCGCGTCTTCATCTCCCACATTCCCTGAAGAAAACAATTGTCAAACACGAACGATGACAGAGAAGATGAGTTTCCTTACCTTCGTCATGATCGTCTCCTATTGGGCTGGGCTCGTAAGCAGCTTGCACGGTGATCGGTATCGTTGTAATCAGAAAATTCTCCCTCTCCTCCCTCTTCTTGTCGTCCTGCGCCTGAAGAGCTTTCTTGATCAGTTCGGTCTGCTGCTTCTTCCGCGTCTTTGTCGCGGTCACCAAGGATCTCTAAACAATATTGTTAAAAACAAATTACTTAGAGAGAAAAATACTACTAGTATTATAATTAGCGGTAATTAATATTATTATTAACTTCCGACACGATTCACTCACATGACGTTCCTGATTGATAGTGACCTCTTCCACCTTGGTTTTCACCTGCGGCATCCAGGGTGGATCGACCACCGGCAAGGATTCAATCCCGATTTTCGGCGACGGCAGAGTGAATTCTATCCCCGGCGGAGGCACTTTGAACGTTAGATGAGCTGCCTCCTCCATTCGTGGCCAGACTTGGTATCGCAATTTCCACAGGACTTGAAACCGCAGGATAGCATTGATACGCACGCTGGTGCTGGTATGCTGAAGGCCCTTCTGCATCAATTCGCTCGCCTGGTTCGGAGCTCGCACAGCCGACACGATGAAGAGCGCAGCGGCTGACGCGGCGACCTCTTGGTTGGACTCCAACAAAAGCTCCCATGCGACCGGCAACACCTCCACGAACTGATCCTCCGTCATGACGACTGCCCCTTTGATCAAGGTGGCCAGAGGTGCGTGGAAGGCGTCTTTCACTTGGGTTTTTATATATTTCAAAATCGCCGGCGGCTCTTTATCCTTCTCGACGTCCCGCTTCGAGGTGCTTTTTCTCAAGGACTCCTTGCCTTTCTCAGAGTCCTGTTCCGCGAGATCCTTCGACGAATCTCTTTGAGTTAAGCGGCCAGATTGAGAGCCGTCCTTTTCTATCCTATGTATATTGAATATTGAATTAGCATATTGCAAGTATAGCTCTTCGTTCATTTCAAATCTGCTTAATTGCTATACGTATTAATATGAATTCATTTATATCAACGAAATATTGTTGCTCGACTAATAAAAATATCCTCACGGAATACATATAGAATTACTTGTATTTGCGTCCCACGCTATCTTTCCGCCGGACAGGCGAAACCTGCGTGCTGGTCAGATCGGACACCTTGCGGCCACGTTTGTCCTTTTTACCGTCCTCCTTCTTGTCCGTGTCCAATAATCCCGTGCCGTTTAAGACGCCGAACTCCTCGCCGTAGATCTTTCTCACGGATTTGATCAACCTGCTGCTGGCGCGCATCTGTCGCCGATGGCAGAAGGGGTGGCAGAAATTCTGATGGGAGCAGTAGAAGTTGAAGGAGTTGGTGAGCTGCGCCAGCACCTTCATCCACGGGAAATTCTTGTTGGTCTCGTCGGTCTCGTTACTGTCGCTCGGGCTCTCCGGTGGCTGGTCGTCGCTGAGAATACCGGGCGACTCCTCGCCGCTGACCTCGCCGCCGACACCGGGCTCGGACGTGTCGCTTCTGTCCGAGAGCGAGCTCACTTTCCTCTTTGACTGAATGGAGTCCGCGCGTTTCACCGCGTCTATAGGCGAAATCAATCGACGTCGCGTTTTATTTCAATATTGAGAAATAATACCTTCGTTGTGATGAAATTTCGATCGACAGGACGAACTATATATACACGATAAGATTCACACAGCTCTCGCTTACACGCTTCGCATTCTATGTCCTTGCCCTCCTTGGTATTGCGACGAAGTTTAAGACTCCTCTTTTTAAACGAGCCGGTTCCGGCGGTACTGCGACGAAGGAGGAACGGCCTGCCTTGGGGCGCCTGCACCCTCTTCGCCTTCTCTTTCTCGATGTTCTCCTCCCCTTGTATCGTAACCGTCGATTTGCTGCTCCCCTCTGATTCGTAATCAGGTTCAAAAACGACAAAACTGATTTTACGATCCGCTGTGGAATTAATTGATCCTTTTATCTCCGCACGTACGACGCAGTCGACTCGAAAGCGGAATGCGATCTCATTCTGGTTCTACGTGTTCGCGAGTGCTGATGTGTTTATGAGCTTTGCGTACAATCGTGCATATCATTTCGTACTAACCGGCCTCGCGATCGCCGACTATGGACTGTAGACTCTGCGCGGACGTCTGCGAATGGCCCATAGAAGACAAAGCCAAGCTCCAGCGTCGATTCGCCTCTCGGCTGTAGTGTATGGACATGGTTCTTTCCCATGGCGGCGGACGCTCCTTCGTCAGCAATTTACTCGATTTCGGCAATGTTTGGTAAGTCTCCCTGAGAAACGCCGTCACTTCCAGCAGCAGCACGCAAGCAACGAGTCGCAGCGCGAAAGGGCACTGGGATCCGTAACTATTTATACTGGCTGCAAGTTAACACTTCGATATCTTTAAATCGCTCTTCTCGATCAATCGATCCCTGGGATCCCCCGAGCCAATCAGAAAGTCCGGTTCGATTTTTCCCTTTCAAACGTTCAAGTCGCTATTGTTGTTCGTTCGTGGCCGATGTAAGAAGGTGGACAATCGAACGGAACTTTTCGACCGACTCGATCGGCGTTACAATGTTACCGTCGTCGAGGAAATCTTCCTCTTCGTCCTCCGCGACCAAATCTCTCTGTTTACTCTCGTCGGACACTATACTCGTGACCTGCTCTATATTTTGCTTATCTTCGGCCAAGAACTCCTCCAGTCGCGTGCCTATTGCCTATTTCGATCGCAACTTCGTATGTAGTGTTCTAAACGGTGATACCTCTCGGAAAATTACCATCTAAGCGAAATTACCTCCGCCCACTGATAAAACAGCTTGCCCGCGGTGCGTTGTAACACGTGGATGCGCCTAAGTGCGCTCGGGGCGTTTCGATTGTTAATCGGCATCGACGGCCGAAACATGGGAAAGTTGTGCTTCATCCACGTCGGCCAGTGGCCTTTGTTGCATTGGTGCACCAGGTGAGCGCATTCCAGTATCATGCAAGCGCGAGACACCACCGGCGCGTACGGCTGCAATCGCATAATAAGAAATTACTCTGTCTCTGCGGGAGTGATCTGCAGAAACATCGAAGTAATCATTACAAGATCCAAGAGCGACGCCATTAGGTGAGGGTCGGGAACGGAGCCGGGTTGGCAGGTCTCCAGGAGGAACGAGAACCGTAACATCCCTTCGAACACAGCGTTGCGAGGTATTAATCTTCTCTCCTTTAAGACGACAAATTCGGATTCTCTGCAGGCCTCGCCGAGCTCCATCGAGTCCCTCCGACTGAAATCTAATGAGAAATCACACCGTGATATCGGGTTTACAAACATTAACTAATTCGGGATTCTTTAGAGCGAAAGAAAAAAATTCTCTACATAGAAGAAGAAACGAATATCCATTCGTACATACGTAATCTTATATGAAAATAAAAACTTGCTTGCACATAAAGAATTCTATGTAGTTCCACTGGAAATACATTCACGTTATTTAAAGATAATAGTGATTTTCATGAATTGAGAAAAAATGTTGGATAGGAAGAACGATATCCTCAAACTAAGAGCAATCTTCGTGTAAGATTGTACATATATTCTTGCCTATACATGAGAATATCTTGAATTGATCTTTTTTCCGTGCAGAAGTTAATTCATATAGAACTTGTTGACTATTTATATAGGATTTATATATAGAACAGGTGTTATGATTAATTTATACGAGTTCAGTCTTACAGCTTCCAGGCGCCTCCTCCAAGCTTTCTTTCTTCTTGCTTTTGCCGAACCCGATCTTATTCAGCTGATCCTCCATCCGACGTTTCGCCTTCTGCAGAGTTAGGCCAACCCTGGAAGCGTCTCAATATAATTTTTCCCGGAAAATTAGAACGATTTTCTCTTGTGATAAAATAATCTCCTTTTTAACTTCACAATATACACTACTCGACGAGACGTCCAATAAGCGTGTTACACCCTACCCGCGTCCCGTTCGCGCGCTGCGATGAGGACCGTAATGGAAGCTGGGTTGCCTAACAAAGCTGCCGTCTGTGGGCGACTCGCTACTTTCATGGCTATCGGTAGAATCGGTTCGACTGTACTCCTTCCGGAACCAATTAACTAAAACCGATCGGAACGACGCGGTATAGCGGCTTACAGTGCGCGGCAAATGATACGCGACGCTCACCGATACCGCCGATCTGAAATCGCGTCGACTTCCGCATTTTTCCGGAGCCCATGGAAGGTTCGCCGACACCGAGATTGCGCTCGCTCTGTCGAGGTGTCAACACGTGATGCTTCTTACGCAGATTAGCCCCCAACGGGCTTTGACTGATCTTAACGTTCTCCTCGCTCAGCTCTGTCTCGAGGAGGCTCTGCAAATTCGACCCGGCCTACCCAATAACACTTTTAGTATGCTGATACAGAAGAACGATTGCGTAATTGTAGTCGTTATATTTACAGCGCAGGACGACGTGCTCCTCTTTTTAAAGAGGAATTTTCGCGTGCCTCTGTCGTCGACGGTGAAACACGTGTCTCCCGCGATATCCGCGTGTTCTTCTAAATCCGACTGGTGTATATGCCTATAATGGAATTGATCGTGTAAAAATATATACAAATAATGTCCATTATTTTATAAACTACGAATAAAATTACAATTTAATGAATTAAAATTTAATTAAAAATATTGTTACATAAACATTGTTTAAATTTACGTGGAAATAAAAATAAAATAAATAAAAATTTTACCTAAAATTTAATTAAAATTTAATTAAAAATATGAATTCATAATAAAAAATATACGTGTTAATTCGCTCATTTATCCGCGAACCTTATGACACGCGTCGTTTGTACGTTACTGTTGCAACGCTTGTTCGGTCGATCCGCGGAGTCCAGGATACCGCTCAGAGTGACGCGTCGGAAAATGCCACCGTGAGCCTCTTTGACATACGTCATCAATTGTCGCACGTCGCAGTACAAGCCGATGTTCTCTTGCGCCTTTAATTGCTTCATGGAATCTACCAGGCGGGTAACCAACACCTTGAAGATGCAACTTATGATCTGCCCCTCGATACCGCGCGCGCCATAACCGCCGGTGTTGTACGACGTTGCGACGCCGCTCGCCGTCGCGACGCCGGTTCCACCTGAAGTGCCCACAGCTGCCCCGCTGGCTCCAGAACTCATCATGCCAGCACCGAAATTCGTCGCGTAGCCACTTTGAGAGGCCACGTCCGGGGACTTGCTGGATATTCGTTTCTGATCTGCGAGAGAATCGCGGATGATCGAATTAAGGAAAGAAATTTGGAAAGAAACTCCGATTATCTCTGAGTTAACGTTTCTCCTTTTAATTTATTGTCGCGATTACTTTTCCCTTTACAAAGAACACGTCTTAGAAAAAAGTTACGATTATTTTCAATATTCTTCTTTGTGAAAATTAAAGAATTCTTGAAATAGACAATTCATCTGTAAACTCTAATTCGACCATCAAACTAAACATAAAATCTTTGATCACGCACGAACTAATTAACAAATAAGAATATCACATCTATAATTAGAATCTTGCGTTTAATCTACTCACTGAGTGGCGATAACAGTGAACTCGGATCGACGCAGTATCCAACATACGAATGGAAGAAGTCCAAGATTTCTATTAAAGGTTGCTCTCGCATCATAGTTCTTAAGAATTTCGAGAATTGACGGGAACTCGCGCGATGCAGTTTCGTCAGGATAGTTTGGCCCTGGGAGCGACAAATATCAGCCTGAGGGCCACGTACACCTTCCAAGCAACCGTATGGACAGCCTAAATGCTTCACTACTCTAATCACGCAATGTATAAGAAGATTGTGAGCGTTCGGTTTCCCTTTCCCGTTCAGATCGTGCCTCTGTTCCGATTGATTCAATCCTGTTGGCGAGTCTTGTTTCTTTCCTGTTTCCGACTTGTCGATTCCTGTACCCGATCCTGCGCGAGAAATAAAACTCTTGATTAAATGTCATATTTTCCGTCTTATAAGTAAGACAACTGTCGAACTAACAATTTACGTACTATAGAAAAATTAATAAAATTAGCAAAATGATGGAAAATTGTTTTAATTAATTATTTGAAGATATACACGCTGAAGAATTGTCGCCCTGAAACCTCTGAATTGCATTTTATTATTTAAAATAAATTAAAACAGAGAAAAATTAAATACAATGAACGATCTAATTAATTTGCCTGCGTTACTGCCGGTGGTTTCCTCCCGAAGACAATGCTTCATCACTCCCATGTCCATTAACAGTTCCACCAGGTTTAGGATAATCTCACAAACCCGCGGCGTACAACAGGTATTATCCCGTAAAGCGACAGAATGTATCGCCTAGAAAGTAAAGAGCGATTGGAACGATGTGGAGAATTGGAAGAGTATGTTGGCAGTTTGTGATTACCTTTAAGGCAACCTGAAGATCAACGTCACCTTCCTTCGTGATGTAACATGCAGAGCCTGGGGCTTCCGGCACCTCGTCGCTCATGTAAGTTATGTTAGAATCTGTTTGCGATCTTGTGAGACTAGGCTTCCTTTCGGAGCACAGATGGCCGCCTTGCATACTAATAGCGTCTAATTGACTTTCGATGGATCCCTGAGGGAACGATGTGTTTAAGACGGGGAGGAGGCAGATATCGCAATAGAATCGTAGAATCGTAGAATCCCTTACTTGCCGCTTCATGTAATCGGGCGATGGAGTTGGCGTGTGTTCTGTGACGGTGATGATAGGATTCGGCGCAGTGCAGGACTGGCTGTAAAAGGAACTCTGTTTCCTCTCGACGCGGGTGTCGCCGACATACCTAGAAAAGAGCGTGGGGTCAGATGCGACGGAATGCTTTCTCGAATATCCTCATGCCTCTTGCCAATGTGAGCCCTAATCAAGCACTACGTTTTCATCACTATGATTTCGATCTACGATCGTGCGCCTGTCATGTCGACACATGCTCGATGATTTTTAACGACTTTTCGTATCAACGTTGCCCAATACGATGATCGCGAGTTTATCGACGGATTATAAATCGCGTAACCACGGACAGTCCTTAATGAGCCTTAAAGATGTTTTAAAACATTTCAAACATACGAATGAGCTCGAATCCTGGTCGTGGGGAAATTAATTCGATACCGAGATTTGCATTCGCGTAAACATTTTTATTTAAGTAACAAATAATTTTTATGGAAAGCGTATCCATGTCATAAATAACTATACTTGTGTTTTTTATATCATTATATGTGTGTTTGCGTGGGCTAAAAATTGAAGGGCGTTACTTTATTCGAATAAGTTGAAAGTGAGATAAACGTTTTTATGTTGGGTGAAATAATAGTTTTACCGGGAAACGAAAGATAAGTCAATCTTTGCAATGGCAATCTTGTCACATGAGTATCATTGACGATTAGCGAAATCACGACTTTACCAAAGGGCAACGTCATTCGACTTTTTATTTATTGCGTCGTAAAACATGCATAAATATATAAAACACGGCGACGATTCTACAATGTACGTAATTTTTTCCTCATTTATCCAAAGGAACCGTGATGGTATATAAAGCAATAGATTAATAAAGCAACACAAGGGGATAAGTATTAATTTCAACAGTGGATCTTAATTACATAGAACGTGATATAATATATATATATGTATAATTGAACGTTGTGTATGATACATAGATTTAAGTATCATAAAATGACATAACTGAAGATGAAGGTGTCAGACGAAAAATCGTCGATTTCGGTGAATCTTAATCGGCAAATCGTGAAGGGGGATCATTTAAGGGATAACGATTAATTTCAAATTTGTCTTTGCTCGTTAATTATAAAACATAAGATGTACCAACGCAAACACTAAAACATCACAATTAACATCTGTATATATAATGGCATGATGTTAAAGATATCGACTACAAGTTATTTTGTGTACAAAAAATGAAAGATATTCTAAATTATACTTTATTCAATAAATAAATAAAACAGAACTGTTAAAAAAAATGAAATGTAAAGAAGATCAATCGTGGTGTTAACGAAACACGAAGCGGGTTAGTGATGTGCTTCATGTGCCTTCGATTCTTGCCGACGTGCCGATGCAACTGGATTTCGGTGTATTTGAAGGAGTAAGTGTGCGTCCTATCAGGAAGCAGGAAGCTCGTAAAAGAAGCGTGTGAACCGAACTGCAATACGGAACTTCCTCCGAGTGACGTTGATGACTTACCCTCCCGCGGTCAGCTCGTTAATCAAGCAGCTGAGCACGAGTTCGGGGTGAAAGGGCGAACGAGAGAGAGAAAAGAGACACACACAGAGAAAGACGCATAAGTATTACGATAGGCTTATCGATATTTAAGCGCTGGATTTTAATTGTCGGAAATTGACGCGTTGAGCCACATTCTCGCGCCATATATCAGGTCAGTTTCAACAAATAACGTAAACTCTTTCGATTGAAATAAAACACGTCGCGTTAATAAAGATCGTTGGTTTAATAAGAAGATATAGAACTGTATTTGTATTTGTGCATCGCGTTTTACGAAATTTGTATTCGAAATCGAGATAGATTGCAAAATACAGGATAAATCTTATCCACCTAATTTATGGCTGAAAACATCGTTCAAGATTATCAGTGTTGGGTGAAGTAATAGTCACAGTTAAAAAAAAATAATAGTCACAGTTAAATAAAAGAATAGAAAGAAAGAAAAGACATCTCTTCTAATTCTATATCTAACAGACACCAATCCACACAATGCGATTTTGGAAATTTACGCGGCAAGTTTTTTAACTATAATTGCTATCGAAACATATTGTAGCTGAAAATCAATTCTTGTGTAACATCGAATTGTTAAAATGTCGACACAAAGATGTACAAATTGGTCTATTTGCACTACCCAACATTGATTCTCGTCTATGTCGATAAGGAATTCTTGCTCTAATCAAACGCTCGTCTCTTATTGCATACAGCTTAAGCACAACTACGTCCCTCGTCGCTCTATAATCGTTATCAATTGAAGAAAATATAGATATATAATTGTACCTTCTTAGACTAGTCTACGTGGAAGCGTTCGCGCGTAAATACGCACCGTACTCGCGTCCGAGCTCGCCGACAGTCGATGTTAAGCGAAACTACACAAGGTATATTTTCGTTTGCGGCGAAATAAAGTAGCGATGTGAAAGTCGGAGCAACAATAAGAGAAAATTATCGTGAAAAAAAGAAAAAACGCGCGAATCTACGTGCGAACGAGAAAGATCGCAAGTCATAGAGAGAAAAGAATTGTATGAAGTAGAAGTTACTACACAGCTTTCTTTCGCGCGAAGTCAACAGCGCCTACCTTAAGCTTGGCATACTTTTCCCTTTGATCAGATTTGTAGGATGCTTCATGTAGTCGACGTCCTTCGCTTCAAAGATCTTCGAGCTGGTCGAAGCTTGTCTCATCAGATGGTCGTCTCCAGTATCCAGACTTCTGTGACATTCCTGACAATGCGAGCGAATATAATACGTTATATGACAACAACATTTGTTTTTAAAATAAAATTATTAAAAGAATGAAACTGTAGTAGCTCGTTATCAGAAGGATCTAAATAATTAATAAATCATCCTCCAATGTAAAATAACAAGCACGTCAATTGGTGTTTCGCTAATATTTTTCGATTCAGATTAACGTAATTTGCAACTTACTAAGATATTGTTTAATTTTTGCGTAAAAATGTAAAAGTTTAAGTCACATCACGTATTATGAAATAACATTGAAACTTCATTCGGAAATAATGATATTCCATCTTCACTGTCATTTTAGCCAAGCAACCGATTATTTACCTGCTCGAACAACATCTTAGGTTCGTCCTGGCCAATCTTCTCAAGTGCCTTCTCCGACTTCGAGAGCAGCTTCGTCTCTACGAAAGCTTTGAGATCGGCCATCTTCATGCGCTTTTTCGTCTTCTCGCTGGCGCGTCTTGTATGACTAGTTTCAACATCGTGACCTTTGTGTATTACGTACGACGGTTCTGAAAATGTGTCCAAGTCTGCACGAAGGACGAGGGAGAGTCCGTCGCAAGACAGTAGAAATCGAACATGAATGCGAACCAGCCAGCAGAGTGACGTCGCGCGTCTCGGGAACCTCTATGAATTCCTTTAGCACATCCTTCTTCTTACTTTCGGGACTCTGGTAAATGGAGACCTCGATTTTCGGTATAGGCAAGGAGTTACTGCGACGACGCGGCATTTGCTGCACAGAACTCTCTTCGTTGATCCTTCGCAGCCTACAAACGTATTTCAATTCACGTTGTTAATTTACCGAAATGCAAACTACAACTTGATTTTCTCAGAAAACGGTTTTAAAATATCAAGAAGTTGCTTCAATATAGCGAAATCGATACGTAAGGAGAATACTTTACGGTATTTGCGTAAATCGCGATTATTTCCTAGTACGATATGGTGTTACCTCTGATCGTTTAAAATAACTGACCGATAGTACAGGAACTGAAGAGCCCAGAAGACACCTTCTTCCTGCCATTGGGGCACGAACAGGCATCTCAGAGTGGCTACATCCAGGAAAGTTGCAGCACGAACGTCCACATCGACAGCCGTAGAGCCGGCGATGTGCTCCGCCGCGATTGCGTCACTATGTGCGCTCTGACGTTGGATCGAGAAACTTCCATGTGTCTTCGAAGCCTCCTGCGTTTCCTTCTCCGTCTTGGAGGGCTTCTCTTCCTTCTCCTTCTCCGTACCTCTAATCAAGAATGCCATTCTCTCTTCAATAAATCACGTAAAATTCAATTATTTCCTCTAAATCTAATTGAACAAAAACACTTTTATTAAACTATGAATAAATTATAATCTAGCTTCAGCTCAATAACTAACACACGCTACAATGTTGAATATGTGGTAGCCAACCCGGTTTTCGTAGTTTTGCCGTGGTACTGTTTGCACGTGTCAAACCCAGAGATCGCTGTGACCTGCTCTATTGTCAGCGTGGACCTCGAGGAGCTGGTTGTTCTGCCCATCGCGACATGGAAGATGCTAGCCTCACCCTGCGAAAGCCACAAAAATATTATTTGCTCCGCGATCAATGTCGAATTATTACCTCGTGCAACTCACTGCGAATATGGTGGAAACTTCTTTCACCCCGTCAATCATCTTTTCCGATTCGCTTAAGGAAGGTAATCTGAATATTACCTGGTGACATGCAAAATGTGGTATCATACGTCGAGCAAATTAAAAATTGGTTTTCATTGCGATCATAAGCTTACCACATGCTCGTCCTCCGCGCCGGAGCTTTCCTCAGGTATCGTTTCTGGGAACACCGTGTCCTTCGGTGACGATAACCAGGTACTCTGTTGCTAACAACGTTAATGGAAAATTACTCTCCGTTTTGTAAGATTGCCAAAATTTCATAATATGATTTTTCTCGGTATTTCATTGCAAACTTACATCATCATCGACTACTTTCGAAGATGGCGGGGCGCTCTGATCCGAGAACGCGCTGATCGATTGGCTGAGCGGGCTTTCGACATCTGAATAATGTTAGAAAATAAAGAATAACAATATAAAAGATAGAAGAGATGTATTACTGGAAACTTGTTCTCCGATTTACGTGAATGTGATTTTTCTTCTTCGAACGGTTTCGAAATTCTGGCAAAAAAACTATACGATATCGCCGAGTGAAAATTAAAAATTGCTTTGAATTAAAACTGTAAAGAAAAAACCGCTATCAAGCTATACTCACTGCCTCCAACAAAAACATCATCCGACAGCATGTGATGCTTAGCTGACTTGAAAGACCGGCTCCAATAAAGACGCGGCTTGGCGCGACAATGTGTAGTAAAGCAAGACGCCTCCGGATGCCGACATTCGTACATAGCGGGCCATATTTTCAAGCCGTTCTCTAACCTCAAGTTCGTCCTGAAGTCGATGTCTTTTAAATGATTGCACAAAGGTGCAAATAGGTAGACGAAGAGCTGAAGCAACAAGGGAACCATTATCCTCGGTATTTCTATCCCACCGGACGAAGCAGAATTTTGATAACTCACGGTCAAGGTAGGTATCGGAAATAAGTAGTGAAAGGGGTTTCCCGGATCGGCTTCATTCTCGGCGCACTCCTCGGCCGAATCCAGAAGTATCCAGTGAAGAATATAAAGGAGAGTTGTTTCCATCGCACCGATGCTCTGGAAATCCTTCCTGGAAGATTAACAACGACGACACTCGCGTGAACCCAAGTGAGCGCAAAGCAAACGTGCTGCTTGGGAAGATTCGAAGAAGTAAGTTGAAGAATTTTACGTGGCTCACCTATTATGAAGGATACTGGCCGCAGCATGAAGGACGTAAGGAAGAGCGGCTTGAATTAAGCGCCAGCGTGGCACGTTGCTCAATATCTCGCTCAGCGAGGGTGTAAGATCGTTGTGAAGGTTCTGCACTAAAACCTTCTCCAGACACTGTAAAGAAAGCAGACAAATCCTTCAAAAGGAGTCATTCGTTGGTATTATCGACAATATCTTTATTTCGGCTAATCGAAACAATTATAAATTCATAAAAACATATCGATATTTGGAAATAAAAATATAATTTAATAAGGTAGAAAATATTAATATATTATGTATATGTACGGTCAGTTATAAAAAGGTTGCAACTTTTTTTTCAATAAGTTTCGGAACGCATTCCATGTCTAATAGGAGAATTTATTTTTTAATTATTCTCAGGAGATACATTTTCCTATTGGATATAACATACATTGGGAAACTCAGAAAAAAAAGTGTTTAAATCTTTTAGTGACTGACCATATATCATTTTCAACAAAATGTTATGAAAAGCAATTTATTAAGCTTTATAAAAATATATGATTTGTTTACGTATTTTTAGAAAGAAATATATTTATACTGACCGTGCACGCTTCCTTCATTTCCTGTGAGTGTGTGTTCCAGAAATACACGAATAATATTAGTCTCCGGAAAGTGATTTATTGTAAAGCAAAATGAAGTTAAAAGTTGTAAAGTTAAATGAAGTAAAGTAAATGAAGTTAAATGAAGATAAATAAGTTAGCAATAAATCTTTGAAAGTGATTATGGGTAGAGCTAAGTGAAATGTATGTGCATATGTATATTACTATGTAATGTAGTGAAATTAATAAATAATAAATTATGTAGTCAGCCAATAAAGTCAAAAGTGTGAGATATAAATGCACACAGTCTAATTTGCATTTGTTTGTCATATTTTAATTTCATCTCAATATGTGCTGGGAAAATAATTTAATGTGCTGAGACATTTTTCATCCAGCTGCCAAATGAAGATAAATGATAGAAGAAAAATATAAAATAAGATGTTAACGCAAGTGACATTAATCATATATATATATATATATATATATATATATATA